CACCGTTGTTGGCAATAGTTCTCCTTCTCGACGCAAACAAGAAGAAAAAAGAAAAAACCAACAACAAATAAAAAAGCGCCGAGTGTGGACGAATGAGGGAGAGAGAGAGTATCGTAACAGGTCGAATCGCAGCGTGAAATTGCCGATGGCCGGTAATAAAAAGGGCCGAGGTCGGCTGTGCTAGGAATCGAGGGCGGAAACCGCAAAACCGCAAACATCCTCCGCGTCCAGCGGACAATCATATCATTACCTTCTGCGGTTCCGTCATTCTGACACCTCGTTTCGACCCGTCATTTGTCATCGACGTTGCACTTTACTGCACCGCGACCGCTTAAGAAGCGTGTGTACTCCATTCATGCTGGCGGTTTTCCTGATTGCATGAAACACAAACCGCAACAAACCGCCCCTTTCTACAGCCTAACTCCCTTTTAAATCCCTGCGCGACAAATTACATCCCACCTCTTATCTTTCTCCCCCTATTTTACTTGGCAATTTCTCCTACATGTATCGCATATACGTGTGTATATACACTTTCTCAAGTTGCTCGAGAAGAAATCATCGAAACAGCGTGTTCCGCCAGTTTGTGCACATACTTGGAGGATACTGTCATCGACGTTTAGCCAGGTAAAAGTGGATAAAAGACGTTTTATTGTTAGGCTTTTTGCCGTACATCGGAGCAAGCAGATTGAACCCGCGACAATCATGCCATATACGCGGTGAAAGTGGCCGTTCACGTTGGTCCTTTTTACAGCCGGAATCGCCGTTTGTTGGTTTAACGTTTGTAACAGGTGGGAAAGTCGGCAATCTTTTCCCTCTGATGTATGTTTCTATTTACCCGTTGTGTATACATACGTGTATTAAGTAATTAAGATTATTCCAAGTGGTTGGCTGATTAAGAGCCAACGTTTAATTAACGCAGACAACACTGGCTCCTGAATCGCGTTGTTCTTCTCAAGGCTCGTTTAACAACGAAAAGAAGGAGAATACGGGTCAGAAAGGGGCCTAGTAAAAGGGCCCATATATAACTATAATAGAGCAAGTAGCAGATAATTCGTCGAGGTGGAATATTTATATAGGAAAGCTGAGCAGAACGCGCACCTCCTCATCCTGTTTCGACCGTCTAATTAAATCGATACGATCTCCCCGGGCGGTGAAAAAACCGCTCGTTTCCTCGTCGCCGGTAAAACGCTCGTGTAAATTCATTTCGTTCATTCAACGACCGCCGTCAATGATCGTTCGTTAATAATCGTTACACGATATTCTTCTTTTCTACGATTCGTTTTGTTCGTCCTTCGCGCAGAAGAAAAAGAAGAAGGAGGAGCGTGGTACCAATTAGGCTAATAGGTGAAAATAGAAATCCCCGTGCCGCGATAGAAAACCGCGTCGGAGGAACACATGAAACTTCTCGCGGTGAAAGTTCGCGATGATCTATCTTTCTTTCGTTCGTTTCTTTCGAAACTGTGCAACAGTACTTTGCAACAACACCCGTACCGACAGGGCTCATGGCGAATGTTTGAACATGGAGGAGGGGGTGAAAGGGGTAGGGACAAAAGGGGGCACGAGGGGACTTTTTTTTGCCGGCGCACACACACTGGCGGCGGCTCTCTCAGGCCGAGCTCTCCTCTCGCAGAGTGGTT